TGCAGTCGCGGCTCAGCCCTGCGGTGCGGGGACGTGGGGCTGGACTGTCGCCCGCACCCCGGGACGGGGGCAGCCTGAGCGCCTCCCCGGAGCTCCCCCTGCTAAACCTCGCCTCCCTCCCCCGAGCTCTTTTGCCAGCACGGAAATCCATTGTGCCCCACAAACTAGCAAAAAGGGGAGACGCGGTGCGGGGAAGCAGCCAGGTCATTGTCAGTCTCCTGCGGGAGCTGTGTTACGGCTGTCGTTGTTCAGTTATTTATTATATAGAATCACGGAATGGTTTGGGTTGGAAGGGACCTTAAAGACCATCTAGTTCCAACCCCCCTGCCATGGGCAGGGACACCTTCCACTAGACCAGGACGCTCAAAGCCTCATCCGACCCAGCCTAGAACATTCCAGGGATGGGGCATCCACAACTTCTCTGGGCAACCTGTACCCATGCCTCACCACTGTCCCTGGGAAGCATTTCTTCTTTATAGCTAATTTAAATCTACTCTCTTTGAATTTAAACTCTTTACTCCTCGTCCTGTCACTACATGCCCTTGTGAAAAGTCCCCCCCAGCTTTCTTTCAGGCCACTTCAGGTACTGGAAGGATTTATTTATATATTTAATATTGATATGTAATTCTATGAAACCCTTTGTGGCTGAAGCCATGTTTCCAGAGGCATCCTAAATCACTCTAATCCTGGGAAATGCATTGCCCCTGGATGGCTGAAGGGTTATAGACTGCCCATACAAATGGACAGAAGGGAAAAGATGTTCACTGCATCTCTCCCCTTAAGGCAACTGAAGGGGCTGAGACTGGGGAAGGGCTTGAGAGCATCCACAACTCATATTCTCTCTGCTACCCTTCAGGGATGTCCAGTCACTTCCATAAAGTTCCCAGAGGAGCATCCCTGTCTTGTCCTGCATCCTTCAGTGCTAACCCCTGGATTCTGGTCCATGCATAGCTCTTTGCTAGCCCTCTGCCCTTCGGGGGGATGAGCACCCAGAGGACTGCCAGATGCAGTGCCTCACTGCTGGGTTAGCCAGCAGGGCTCAGGGTCACACCAGGAGGGGAGAATTCAAGTTACTGGGCTGTCCTGAGGTTACCAGCTGCAAATACATGAGCTCTGTGGTACTGTAGGTGCTCCTTGCACATGCTGAGCCCGTGAAAAGCAATTGCCTTCCCTTATTCCAGCCTGTTTCCACTGTGAGTCTCGGCCAGCTCAACTGCAGCCACACTAGGAAGCTGCAAGGCTGGACTGACACGCATTCTTATGGGGTTGGCTCAGAGTGGCAGGAAAAGGCATTCCCTCTTAGTCATACTCTTCAGACAGCCATTGATCCACATTATCCATACAACCCTTTCCATTCTTCTTTATATTTAAAGTGCCCATGTAGGTGAACCACCAGGAAGCCAACTTAAGAAACAGGGAGAATTTGCACCTGGCTACATTTCAGAGTACACCAGTGTGTCAGGCTGATAGGAAATTAATGGTCCATTTAGAATAATGTTTGCTGGATAATAGTAATGGTTTTGTCTTTTGTCCAGAGGTTTATTTATGCCATTGAAACCAATGAGCACTTTTACTGAAGGTCTTTGCTGACTCCTGCCACTGTTGCCCAAAGAAAAGTGAGCGTTTCCTTTTGGAGACAACATTTTGGTTTATGACTTTCATATATGTCCCCTTTGTCCCACAGCACTTCACACACTGAATCTTTGTGATCTTGTGAAGGCCAGTTTATCCCTGGTATCACCCTGGCAGAAGAAAGCTAGGACATCTTGGGGACACCTGGAGGGAATCATCAGGGTGAGTGGGCTATAAATGACATTTTAGCTGACCCACGGACAGGTCACAAATTTTCATCACACAACTAAATCATGTTTTTTCCCAGAGCAAAATTCCAGGGACAAGATTTCAGCTCTTTTCTAATCATAGAGAGTATCTTGAAGAGAAACCTGGATTTTTTTTTTTTTTGTGTGAAATCCCCATGTATTTATAGCTGCCTGTAATATAGAAGAAAACAATGGCACCATTGTTGATGACTTTATTATGAATAAGTAGAAATGCAAGCCAAATATAGACACAAATTTAGCTATTCTGCTTTCATCCCTGCGTAAAATTTCTGTCCGCCCAAAGGAAAAAAACCCACTTTGATGAGAAACATGTATATTTACACTGAAAATTTGTCACAAATCTCAGTACAACAAATCTTCACAGGGACTGCTTAATATTTTTCTCTAAATGAAGATGAGCTAAAAAAAAGCATAAAAGGGAATAAGAGGAGCCTTATTTTAAGATTGTTAGAATACTTAGGCCAGTAACTATCTGCTTGTAATTTTTGTCAGCATGCAAGTATCATAAAAATGAAATACACGCAATATTCGCATTTGTTATATAGTGGTATTTTTATCTTTGGGCCTTGGTAATATGAGAATTGATATCTTAATTTATAATCACCAGAAACTCCCTCTATAAAAATATAACCACAGACTGTGCAGTTATATATAGTTAAATCTATATATATATGATGTATCACTTACATTGCTGAGACGTTGTTGCATGGAAAGATTCAGGATATTCCAGCCTTATTAACAGCGCTCAGATGCTGTATCGCTACCTGCCTCCGGCACAGGGTGAGTCAGCCCCTGCCTGTGCCCACCTCTTTGAAGACTCTTACGGAAATCAGTGGGACATTTCCCTGATTCACAGAGCAAGCTCAGGCTTTCGGTTTTAATACTGTGTTTTCTCAACGGAACAGCACAAGTCCTGTTAGCAGAGAGATGCTGCACGGCAAGCGCCACATCCCTGAACCCACTGAAGCCCAGGTTCACAACAAGCACAGGGTACAACCAAGCAGCTCTGAGGCACCTTCCCTCAAACAGCGCTGGACACCCGCAAATAGGAGGAAGGAAATTCATATTATCCACAGGAGCAACTGTTCCAGATTCTGGTGCACTGCTATATGCCTTATATCCTTCTCCATAGCGTATTAAAAAAAAGGGAGAAGAGGAAAGTTAGACCTAGAGAATAATCCCACAAACAGCTGTTTTATACCCCAAAACATACTTGTCTAGGAATTAGTACATGTGCCCACACGCGTTCCTGCAGGCCAGATCAGCTTTCAGTGAGAAGATAATTTAGAAACGAACAGGCATTTTCTACTATTTATAAGACTTTCCTCTTAATGATTCATCTGCATCGCAGATGCGGTGGGAGCAGGGGGCTGTTCACAACACAGTTGCAATGTGTAGGGTAGACAGGGTTTACTCATGCTTTTGCATTCTTTAACTACAAAATGCAGTAGTTCTCAAATGAGAGGTTTTGATCATGGAGTTGTGAGCCCACAGAAGCGTGAAAATGTTGCTATAAGACTGAAAACTTAAAATGCGAAGAACTCAGAGGATATCTACTCTACCCTGACTTAGGACTAGCTTTTGAGGTGTATGGAAATTTCATCTGCACCTGTCTATCAATAATATGGTCTCAATGGATACGGGGGGCCTAAGCCTCAGGTTCGACAGGACGCGCAGGGTCCACCAGATCTGGTGTGATAACCCATAAAATACAGGATGCCCTATACGAGATGGTCAGCCTCGCTTCCTCTGAGTCATTCCTTAGCATCCTCTAGCAGCCCAGCAGGGATGGACATCTCCACCCATGGCTTTCAGTTCTTCCCATGTTCCTCTGGTAGCTGGTTTTACGTAATTATAAATACACACACATATACATACACACAAGTATTAGTCGCCCAAATTGTCTGCAAAAGTGACCCCAGCTCACCATCCGTAAATCTGTGAGTTATATGACTTAAAATTTCCCTGTCCCCGCTCAGTTCTGTGTCCGTGGCTTAAAACAAAGCACTAGGGATACATTGTTCAAGTAAGTTTATTCAAATACAGCAACAGCAAAATAACAGGATTCCCAAAATAAAATGACTTTCTATTCCACAAAACAGGGGAGCAAAAAGGAAAAATAGTAACATAAATTACAAATTTTTACCAAAACATTTTGAATTTCATTACTCTCCGAGTTCAGCACAGATGCCCTTTCTGTTAATAGCCTTTGGTATTCTTCGGAGAATTTGGTATTCTCTGGAGAAGTCCTCACAGCACTAACTATGCCCAGGAACCAAGTCACAGCCCACTAGTATAAGTCACAGGGCCAAATCCTATCCAATCTCCCCTTGGTGGGTGCTACCATGCCTCACCATACCTCTGGGCAACCCCAGTGTTATTACTGGAACTGACTGCAGACCAAGGCATTGCTGAAACTGATGTAGCTTTTCAGTGTCTATTTATACAGCAGTTGTGCCACAAATACAGACTACAGTTAAAAAATAACCAAATTAAGGTGATAACTGTCTCATCTGAGGAAAAATACAAAGCATTGCAGAATCATTCTTGACTTCACTCTCCAGGCCTTACAGTATTTTACTGCAACAAGAATTACATTATGGTCATAAACCAGAATTATTTCACTTGCTAAAACTCCTAAAGTAACACCTACAAATTTATGGCAAATGCCATGAAAATGCCTATTTTGGCATGAAAAGGATGTGCTTAAACACACCTCTCCTCAGGAAAGAACATCACCTTCTTAGGGCTGAATTCATGTGTACGTGCTTTCCTGAGCCAGAGCCCAAAAAATGCCCTGATGAAACAGGTGAAAATGCAGAGGCTTTTGACCTCCTCAGAACTGTATGTGGTCTCTCAAAATACAAACTCAACATCAGACTCTTCAAAATGACAGTTTGCTCAAGCTACATGGGTTTCCCATCAAACACACTGACAGAAAAGACAGTATTGAGAAAAACATTGACTTCCCATTCTAGAATCTTTCTCTGGACTTTTTTTTTTTTAATCAAATTCTTTCAACAACTTTATTTCTTCTTCCTCATCGCTGTCAGTTACATTGATGAGTTGGATGCTGGAGGGACTAGATGGGGTAGCTGACAAAACCTCCTCCAGTATCCCAGTCTCCAGCTGTGGTAGGGGGTTTGAATACCGCTCCTCGTTGCAGCTGCTCTGACAGGACACCCTTTCAAGGTTCTCACAGCTGCGGTGGTCCTCATGTACACTTTCTTCTAGGTAGTCCTTGAAAGTATAGTCTCTGTCCAGAGCTGAAAACACCACCTCTTGTCTTTGGTAACGCTCTTCATAAAAGCTAATGCATTCAGGCACCGAGCTGGAGAAATTCCCACAGCTGAACGGAGGTCGATTGAATGGCCATGTGCTGCAATGAGAGAGAGCGAAAGTTGGCTTTCAGAAATGCAGATTGCCTGGACTTCCATTCAGCTAAGAAAACCAGAATAACATTAATGCTCTATGTTATCTTCACCTGATGAAATGTTCGAAACACACATACTTTAAAACCATGCTTAATTTAAACACTGGGGCCGTAACCACAGTTGCGCACAGATTCCGTATCTGTGCAAATGTGCCTCTGCATGCTTGATACACGCATGACGTTGCTTTGAAAACAAACCCAAACCCCACCATGTTTATCAGTGAACTAATATAATGGATAAACCAGCATCTGATAAGCCTGCAGTATGCTAAGCGACATACTCAGAATACCAAAGCAAAGAATCAGAAGTCAGTTTGTGTTATCTCTGTACGCGAAAATTTGTGACAGATCTGGGGTAAAACGCTCTTAATTATTCTCTAAGTGAACTGTGGTATCTGGTACATAATTATTAAACAGGAGGACTGACAGAGGATCACTGTGCCAGTACGTGGTGTCAATATTCCTATTTAAAAGATACGTTTTTAAAAAGCAACCACACAGCAGATTGCAGGAAGATATAATGTCAAATGTAACTGTTTTCCTCTGGTGTCACACGTTTGAGGTTTTATCCTGATGCAGAATGACATACATATTGTAATTCACAGGGTGTTACAGAAATTCACCACACTGTTAAGAAAACAAGGGATGTGAAGATGTAATAGAGCTCTATGGTGCAGACATAAAGACACTGATACAATGTCTATTGAGGTTTCAAGGGGACTATTCCTCTTTCCAACCCAACATTTAATTTTTTTTTGCATAAATCTGCATACATACATCTGCACTGTCAATGCTACTCAGAAATTATGATTCTTGTATGCAAGAAATGGGTTTATAGGAATGTGAAGTTATAAATAATTGTATTAGAAAGATCCTGGCATTGGCCAAACTGGCAGCCTTCAGAAGTCCATTAATGTGTGAACTCAGAAGTCTTGTATGGAATAAGAACACTCCTCTCCCTCAGTGGCCTCACAAAACTGTCTAATTTCAGAGACTAAGAGCTAAGCAAAGTTCATCTATCACAATTCTGGGAATATGTGTCCTGTGTTTCTTTAAAGGACCTCAAAAATAGAAATGTCTTGCACTGCACTTATCAGCTTATAAAGTTCTCTTGAGTTTGATGGGTCATCATCAGCACTGGTTCATGAAAAGGTAGTCTTATAGCCATAGAAACACATTGGTTGTTGCTATTGGTAGGAATGAGCAGTGTATAAATGGGCAGAATTTAAGTCCAGTAGTCATAATCATAGAACCATAGAATGGTTTGTGTTAGAAGGAACCTTAAAGATCATCTAGTTCCAACCCCCCTGCCGTGGGCAGGGACACATGGGCAGGGATAATAATTTGTATGTTTGGTATTGCACAGTCACAAAAGAAAAATGTCTTAACAAAGAATAAGCACCAGCAGGCCAGCAGACGACTTGCATTTGAGCAGCACTCCTGCTGCTGGGAGGGCACTGGTGCTTTCTATGCAGGCTTAGCTTAGGAAATACCCATGGGATATTACATGGGTTAGCTTGTAAATTCTTTGATTAGGTGATCTCTGATTAACTGCACAGAGGCTGCAAAGGAAAAACTAGGAATTACTGCTTAAGACATTTCCCACCAGGCTGGATTTCATAAATACTGGTAGTTATGACAACTGCAATCATAGTATCAAGGAGACATCTCACAAACCTACTTTAATTCTATCCAATCATTTTCAAAATATATTTACACAATCTCTACCTAATGCTGTTCTATAGAAGTCAGCTGCTCTTAGATGTATAAAGTGGAGAGAGGATACTTCTGTCTAATGTGCGCTTGGGAGTGCCAATTACTGCAATAGTATTATGGAGCCTTCAGTAACTGGGCATATATTATGAGCAGCCTCAGGCCAGCAGGTCCTACCACACAGGAGCTATAGGAAGGTAAGAGCACCTTTCCTTCTGAATGCTCCATCTTCTGTCTGTAAGTCAAAAGACCCTCTGCCCTTTAGCATTTGTTCTTACTGATATTGAAATGAAGGTTTTCATTACCTTGGGGGGAAATAGTGAGGTCCAGGTACAAAGTAAGACTGGTGAAATGAAAACTGAGGAGGTACTCCAAACGGACTGGCTGGCTGACCAATGTGAACAGACTCACAGACATGTGATTGAAAAAAAGGGGGAGCCTGGGGAAGAGGTACACCTCTAGGAAAAATAGAAACCCCTGGGTACTCCCTTGGGGGCTCACTATTAGGGAAAGTAAATCTGCCATTCACATTGGTTATGTTACTTGGGTTTCTGCTGAACTTCTCGATGAACACTGGTGTAGGTCTCCTCAGAGAGCAACTGAGCCCAGATGATTCACTAAGAACTTTGGTGTGAGCAGGTTCAGGAAAGTGCTGTGGGAAAAATAAAGGGCGCAGGGCCAGGGTTGAAGCTGGAACAGCCACTGATGTGGTGCCTGCACTAGTAGGCTGGAAAAGAGTAATTGGACCAGCATGTCGAATGGAAGAAGCCGGCAGACAGATGGCAGAAGGAGCTTCACCTTTAGGAAACAGAACAATTATTTATCAGACATGAATAGAAGGAGAGATTTCATAAACCATAGCCAGAGCCAGAACCATTTCCCCCAAAACACTTTATAACACTACTTCCCTGCAGCTCTCAGTCATACACCACTTGACCTACACGTGTTCCAACAGATGGGTTTGGAGCCCACACATTCAAGCTTCCTTCCACAGAAACCCAAGGGTGAAAGAAGGAGGAACTGGTTAGTAAGGGTTGGTGAGGGCTGTGTCCTGCCCTGACATGGCCACAGAATGGGTTTGGAGCATGCATTTAGTGCCTGAAGCTCAGAAGACCTCCCAAGTCTACCAGCTGAGTTGGAGCAAGGCAAATTCTTAACAAATACGTGTGTTGCCAAAACAGCAGTGAAGAGCAGAAGCAACAGTTAAAACACTACTATCCAATATATTTTCCTATTTGTTTCACCAATGAATGTACCTGCCAGCCAGTTTCACTTTAAAACATTTTGCAGAACATACACTTGAATGTACACTCTCAAATCACACATCATGTCAACAGCCTGCCTTCATACAGAAAGATTTCAAAACACATTGCATAAGTATTTTCAAACCCCTATCTAGTCTAAGAGTCCAAATTCTGAGTCAATAAAACTTAAATGCATCTAGATGCTTTGAGTGTGTATTTAGGAATCATTTCAATGCGATAGCATAGTAAACTCTGAAATGAAATATAGTAGCACCTGAGGACAACTTAACATTATAAAATATACTAGGGTAGGAGAACAAAACCCACTTTATTCAATCAAATTTACAGAAGGATTTGAGAAAGGATCACATCGCTAACTCAGAACTTCACCAGAACAAAGCTGAGGGTTCTTTTACACACCTGAATATAACCACAAAGCATAAACAGGCATTTAATTTTCTTGCATCATGAGAAAGAGAGCAGCCCTTGGCAGTACGCTTAGAGAAAAATGCCACTGCCTGGATCTAAGCTGTTTGTTGTTGAAATCCACTACTCATGCACTGACCGAGCTCTTTCAACACAAAATATGCAGGTCAGCTGTTACAGCTGCCTGTGGGTTCTCATGCTACAACCTATTCCACTGCCCATATTGACTTCTTACAAAAAGGAGCATCCTTCCAGGTTAGGTGCTACTTTTTAATGCATTCCTTCTGTATTTTTGTTTGTATAAAAGCTGAGCTGTGTATGCTCAAACTGTGGGCATGTGCAAGTTCATAACAACTACACACAGAACGATTCCAGGTGTGCATAGATACCCGAGTAACTGTTCATGGAAAACATGCAAATAAAAAATTTGTTTTTCAGATTTAGTGACTGCTTTAATATTGTAACAGAAACCTACTAACACCCTACTAACTTCCTTTCTGCTTTAATATTGCAGCACACACCTTACTGATACCCTAAAAACTTCCTTTCTGATGACCTTGACAACCCTGGCTGCTGTCTCTTGTAAGCAGCCCAAGGTGCTGAGCATTACTCTAGAGCAACATGCCCTCATGACTACAGAACACCAACATCACAGTGGAGGTGCCATGGACTAAGCTCATGAGCTTTTTCAGGCTTAGTGAAGCAGGGCTAAACACCAGCACAGTTACATCAGGGGAGGTAAGACGTGTGTGAGGTGGAGACAGAGAAAGAAGAAGAAACAGCTGTAGCTCAACAGGAAGCACATGTAGAAGGAGTGAACCAGGAACTACAAAGACAATAGATCTGTGGGCAGTGTAAGAAGCCAGAAGAATTTAAGAGATTGAGAAAACCGTAGGTAGGGCCTAGGAGGCAGAATCATAGAATCACAGACTGGTTGGGGTTGGAAGGGCCCTTAAAGATCCCCTAGTTCCAACTCCCCGGCCAGGGGCAGGGCCCCCTTCCACTAGCCCAGGTTGCTCCAAGCCTCATCCAGCCTGGCCTTGAACACTTCTAGGGATGGGGTATCCACAGCTTCTCTGGGCAACCTGTCCCAGTGCCCCCCCACCCTCTGCAGGAAGATCTTCTTCCTGATATCTAATCTAAACCGCCCCACTTTCAATTTGTACCCGTTACCCCTTGTCCTGTCACTACAGGCCCTTGTAAAAAGTCCCCCCCAGCTTCCTTGCAGCCCCTTCAGGCACTGGAAGGTGCTATAAGGTCTCCCCGGAGCCTTCCCTCCTCCAGGCTGAGCAAGCCCAACTCTCTCAGCCTTTCATCATAGCAGAGGTGCTCCAGCCCTCTGAGCATCTTTGTGGCCTCCTCTGGACTCACTCCAACCCATCTATATCCTTCTGATGTTCTGGGTTCCACAGGTGGACACCCCACCATGTGGGGTCTCACAGAAGAGCCGTGCAGAGGAGGACTGGAAGAAGCAGTGGTGTCAAGACTGAGAAATTGTTTCTACTGTATGCACACTACTGTATGTATAACTTTTACTACAATAGGAAAATTCCAAATGTTTAAAATAATTTACTACTGAAAACTCACTGATTGGCTGGACAATACTGTTCTTAACATTGGGGATGACAACAGAGTGAGACTGGAAACGACAAATGCCAGCTGGATTTGTAGCGATGAAACGCTGTGAAGTACCAGAAAATACAGCAGAGGCAGGCGGTGGAAAACGCTTCTTTTTGCCTGGTCGTGGTTGATAAACCCAATCTGTCAAGAGATGAAAAAAAATGCAGACAGCCAGTTTTTGGGATGGTCTCATTCTCTACGTAAAGCTATGATACCTGTAATTTTGAACAATTTTAAGAAAATTACTCCAAAAGCTGCTCCTATAGTCAACGGCAAAACTCCTTTTGTTTTAGTGAGCTAGAAAACGGGGCATTTTATCAGAGGTGGAGATAAAATGGATGTATTTAGGCATTTTTTTACTATTACTAAGAGACAAATACAGAACAGTGGGGAGTGACATGGCACAGCTGAGGAAAGCACGTTAAGCAGAGAATGACACTGTACCATGAGCTCAGTTTGGAAGAAAACCATGACTCTATTCAAAATGTGGATCTTTCCTGATTGTTTCCTTAGCCCTCAGGGCTCACATATACCTGTAGGTTATAAGAGACAATGGAAAATATGACCCACTAGGAATCCTATATGGATTTTGCAGGAATACGTTTGCCTTTGACTTACAATGTTAACCAAACACTGAGAGATGTATAAACATATTACAAATTTACACTGTGCAGCTTTGTTTCTTACACAGGCTGAGTACTAATGCTACTTTAAAGAAACCCTTTTTATTGATTTTGTTTTGAAGGGTGCAAGGGGACAGGGCTGCTGCTCTTATCTTTTGCTTGTTTATCACAGATTCATCAGATCTTGTCTACCAGGATTAGCCATAATCATGAACTAGCAGCATTATGACAACAGAGACAGAAAGGATCATGACACCTGGTATCTCAAGAGCTTTTTAAAAGAGTGTTCAAAGGACTTATGCTCTGTTTTATTGAACTGCAGTGTTACAGAGAAATCAATTTAATAAGGGTACACATTTTTACCTCTTCACAAGAGGCTGAGAAACAACATCTTCTACACTGTTATTTGTGAATCCTAAGCCTATTTGTGAATCCTAAGCCTACACATTGAAGAATCCCACAGAATACAATGCTATTTGTGCTTCCTGTGGCATTTCCCTTCCCTGCTTTTTATGGAATGGATGCATGTGTCACCACAGGCCACCTGGGCAGCTCTTTCTGGAGTCTATAAAATGATGCAGCAGGCCACGTTCACAATAAGCTCATTGTCTGGCCATTAGACTACTAAAGCATTCAGGAGAGCTGCTGTAGCTGTGGTGGTCTAAGACCATTAGAAACATCAGAGGCTATGAAGGAGGGAAACAGCACTTTGGGTCCTTTAAAAAATTAATATGCACTAGAAAGGCACTAGAAAGAATTAATAGAATTAATAGGCACTAGAAAGCTGACAGAAGGACTGCGTGCTTGAAATTTTGTAATTTTTTTCTAACCCTATTACTTGTTCAAATGAAAGAGAAGCATTTTTCAAAAATATCTTGCACTTCTAAAGCATTCAGGTAAATAAATACATGTTACCAGGAAATTCCTCTCTGTGCCTTTGTTTTATTTTATGAGCTTCATCGTAATAGGGCTGCTTCTGCTCTTCGGTCAGTTTGCTCCACTCCAATCCAAGCTGAATGCTGATGTCTGCATTACTGGCAGCTGGGTTAGCTTTTGCTAGGGCGGACCGATGAATCCTAGACCACACCATAAATGCGTTCATTGGACGCTTTACATGGCCACTTCTGTCCTTGCTAAATGGAGTATCTGGCATACCTATGCAACAAAATGAGGAAAGATGATCACCTGCCTGGAAATATATGCAATACAGGTTACACTCCATCGTACATCAAGAGGATATTTGGCAGCAGACGAAAGAATCACTAGAGCTTTGGAACACATGAAACTCGATGCACATGTGGTGAGCAGTTCCTAGAAAAATAGGGCTAAGGGACTATCCTCCATGAACTTTCATCAAACCACTGCATAAGGAGTCATTTACCTGCCTTTTGTTACATACATAAAATACATATACATATATATATTTAAAATACATATATATATATGAGACTGCTAACACACTGGTTTAGATTTCGTTTGGCTAATTGTTTTCTTGTGAATTTATAAACTTAAGACTTTATAAACTAGACATTGTATAGCATAGACCATATCACTGCAAATTTATCATCACCACCAGAACTATGTATCCCAAGCCCTAACGATGCAGGGACCAGATCTAATGACGGTATGGCAGTTTAGCCCCACACTTGTGCAGTCCCTGGCTTCTCAGCTGAGGTTGTTGCTGTTCTCTGGGTTTCTGGTTGTTTTGGTGTTTTGGGTGGGTTTTTTTTTTTTCCCACCCTTACTTTTATCTCAGATTTGGACACTCAGTTTGCTGGAGGAACTTGTGTTACCAGATGACTGGTATCTGACACCCTGCACTGGCTCTTTGTAAACACAGGCTGCATTTAAATTGAGCTGGTGACATGATGAACCCCCAGACTGATTTCTGAACCACCAATTTCCTCTCTGAAAACAACTTAGAAATGAACCCTTTCACAGTATCAACAAAAGGCAAAAGTCTTCCAGTCTTTAAGACCTCACTAAGTCATTGACAGCCTAGGTATCTTTCAGAAAAGTAAACTTCTAATCCAGATTTTGCAAAATGTTCCTCATTTACCATGTCCAAATTTTCTCAGATGTATGAATGCTTCATGGCTTTAAAATCTGCTTAAAAAGCAGATTCCTGACCTTAAACTCACAATCACAACTCAATGCAATTCTAACAGTTATAAGGGGTTTAATGTAGTCAGGGACCAAGTGGAGGAAACCGCATTGATTTTAACAAGCCACTGGAGAACTGTGCTCCTGTATGTTTATGCCTGACGCTGAAGAAGCGAGTTGTACACACTCCAGTTGACCCAAAGGGATGGTTCTCTAACACGACCCTTCCACTCGTGTTCTCCTATCTGATAACCTGTCAGCCGCAGGCCACTTACTGAACCCTCGTGAGCTCTCTTAGCATAATACCTGCATCGGAGGGCAGTACCGTGAAGGGCACATTTTTGGTTTCGATCTTTACGGAAGGCTGCAGCGAAGGCTGCGTTTTAAGCGGCACTTGTTTCACCGGCACTCTAGTCACAGGGATCAGCTCTGACGGCACAGGGCCTCGGATCTGTATGCTGGTCCCAGGAGGTAAGGGACAAAACACAACTGGGACCTTCACATCTTCAGGGAGGATCCCCAACCCCGCACAGAGCTGCGCCCTGCCGTCATCGGTGCTGGCACGAGCAGGCCCACACGACGAGCCAGCCGGGGCGTCGTCCTTCTCCACCTTCACGCTGCAGGCCTCAAAGGCCATGTCAGGCGGCTCCGCTTTGACAGCATCTCCTCTCCAGGGCTCCTTCCTATTCTCCCTCTCCCCCAGCACCTTCACCTCGTTCTGACTTTTTCCATCTCCCTTGTCATGGTCCCCCCTGATGGCAGCGCAGGCCTCCTCCTCCATCCCCCACGGAGCTGGTGAGC